GCAGGGCAGACTATCAGACCAGGATTTCAAGGTTTGTGTTACCTTATTATCAGGTCACTACCAGTCTCACAGAACCTTGGATTACTGATGCAGACAACTGCAAATGAATTTGTAAACTACAGGAAAATTACCTTTTAATTCAAGAAAGTGGGAGGAGTGCTAGAAATCAGTCAATTATGGTAGTATCATCCACTGGATTGAGAATGATGGCTCCCTTTTGGCCTGCTCATCTTTCAATTCAAAATTCCCAATTTGTAGTTATCAATACTATACAGTATTTCTTTGACATCCATTAAAGATCATTGACATTAATTTAAGCTTTTAACCTAATTACTAACTGCAGTTATTTCCTCAACCTGTTTAGTCTTTACCCTCCACCCTTGCTAGTCATGTAATGTGCAAATGATGATTATACTTTATGCAGATGAAACTGCATTTAAAATGTATCTCATTCATTTCTTCATCTTATTTAGAGTCTAAATCAGACACTCCAGTTTACAGACAAGCTAACATGTTTATACCATCATAGAATTTAAAACCCTGAGAAGCGAGGCCACCCAGATGTTCTACTCTCATCTCTCATCCTGGACTGGGACTGATGGGAACCAGGGATTAATGGTAGAGGGCTGCAAGTCCTCCCTCCCATCGTAAAGACCTGAATTATGATAGGTGGTATAAATCTTGATATTTTTTATGAAACTACTTAATTTTGCTTCTAGGAATCTTGCCATTATTTTTGGCATATTTAAGCAATAGGATTTAGAATAATTTTTGTTAAATACAGAGTGCATCTAAATATGCTTCATTAACACAAGTATATACTCTCTTTTGCTGCTAACTCATTTGAAGATGACCTCCAAGAACCTTATATATAGGGATGTATTATTAAGAAAACTACAAAAATGAAGGCAAAAATGTTACCCATATGTATAATAGTATTTTTTTTAAAAAAATTAGCTATTTAAACTTTTAATAATTTTTAAAATTGCCTTATAAGTGGACTTTGTAAAAAAACTATTACTTAATCTTCCTAGTTATATATTATACAGACATGCAAGCATACAAACAACAAATAAACACCTTGCCTGGATCAGGTTAGTTTATCATAAAATGACTGTTCATTTCATTTGGTTGATATAATTAGAGATATTAGCAAACATTTTACAACTATAGTACATTGGGAAAGTAAAAACATGGATTCTGTCACTAGAGGACTATACTTTTTTAAAAAACAACATCATTTTAATGTAATTCATTAATCAGATCAGATACAAATTTAAATTGTGTTTATATACACATGCATACAATTCTAGCCCTGCCTTAGATGTAAAGCTAGTTGGGTAACTTTGGACCAGTCACTCTCTCAGCCCAACCCACACATTCTGGGGAAAATAGGAGTAATAGTGTGTATTTGCCGCCTTGAGTTATTTATAAAAATAATAAAGGCGTGATATAAACAAAAATAAACATGCAAAGTGTAAACAAGTCCCTACATTCACATTTATCTAAACTTAAAAAAACATTTTCACAAATGGCTCCAGCTGATGAATCTCAAATGTTTTGAAAAATTCCAAAGTAGATTTTAAAAACCCACAACAAAACTAATCCCATCCCTTGTGTTAGAAATTAGTCAATCCTCATATTATCAGTAGAAATAACATGATTAAGTCAAGCTACATGAATAAAATTAAGATATTTTGGAGCATGCAGAAGTTTTGTAAATGGTACTAAAATATAAGAATTATGAAGGATTAAAAAATAATTATTTCAGCTGTATTTTTACAGGCTTTGGGGTTGGATGAATGTGTAATTGTGATTTTGAGTTGTTTTACTTCAGCTGTCCTTAGAGTTTTCATGTTGTTTTTATTTTATTTTCACTGTTATCTGCCTGGGGTTGCTACAGCAAGATGAATGGCCATACAAGTTGAAATAATAAAATGTTTTGCTATAACATTTCTATTAATTTCCTAAAGGGTGCAGAACAATCTTCTCTGGAAGGGCTTTGATGCAAAGCAAGAGATCCAAATCATTTTGTATCTATTCTGTGGTGGAATATACATAAACAATCCAGATTTATCAATAGATAAGGATATAGGTACCAAGGTCCACAAAACAATAATCCTGAATAGTTGCTGTCTTATCATTTTTATCAATAGGGAAACAAACAGAATTCACAAATGAGCAGTTCCCAACAATGCAAAACCTCTAAATTGCACACTTGTCTACTTTGCCAGGTGATTTTTCCAAGCAGAATCTCTCTCCTTTTGACTGTCTCTGGATTTATTGCAAGTGAATTTATAATCTTGAAATGCTTACACTGTTTATGCATACTACATAAATGAATGATCTGCATGCAGCAAAATACCCAAAGCATCAGGATTTTTGAAAGGCAAATATACAGATATTATCTAAATATCTAAACCCAATTTCTAGGGTTATATATTATGTGCCAGGGGTGTCAAACTCAATTTCATTGAGGGCCGCATCAGCATTGTGGTTGCCCTTGGGGGGGCAGGTGGGTGTGGCCAGAATGGGAGCAGCCTACTGGGTGGGCGTGGCCAGTTCGACATCATTCGCGTCAAGGGTACCTGTGGGGGCCTGGGCAGGAGTGAGACAGATCTGAGGGTCTCTGGAAGAAGGGGGTGGGACCGGGGCAAGTGCCAAAGCATGGTCCACTGGGGCAAGTGCCAAGATGACCCCCACAAAATTGTACATTGGCTCCCGGCTGGCCTGGGCCAGGGCCAAGGCAGCGGGGGCCGTTCCCTCACTGTTTCCAGGATGGCTTCGCGGGCCACATGAAACCACTTCGCGGGCCCCATCGGAGCCCCGGGTCTTGTGTTTGACATGTCTGTTATATGCCATATGTACTGTTATCTCAACATTTTATCTTCAGATACTCTGATTCCATTGCTAATAATTATAGAAGTTTGTTGATTTGGATTATTCTTATAAATGTAAATTCAGAGTAGGTCTTAATGATATCTTCGCTAATACCATCCCCAACTTCTATAGTATTAATTAAGGGTAATTTTACATCACACTGGTACAGTGTAAGATTTCCTACACAATGTTCTCTACTTTTTATAATGTGTTTTACAAGTAAAGAACTGTATTAGTAGAATCCTCTTTATGGACCTGAAAATTTAGTTCAGTAATAAATAACAAATAAATGTTGTAAGGTATCCACCTCTGTTGGTCAGTTGGATAGACATATAAATGTGAATAATTAAATAAATAGTTCAAGATACTCTGTATTTTCCTTGACTATAAACTTTGAATTGGTTACATGAGCCACTTAACCACTATGACTAAGAGCATCAGTATCAAGCCAAAATGGTGCAGTTACTGTATGCAATTATATTTAAGTACCAAAATCATGTAATATGCATATTGACATCTTAATGCATTTGTCATTTGCCACTCTGCTCCCCCATGAATACCTACGATTGTAAGACTGTCCTCTTCAAGAGACCTGGGAACAAATACTGTGTTTGCAGTTCATGCTATCCCAGAACATTAAAAATGTGGTCTACTCTAAACAATCCATACTGACCAAACTTCTTATCATCCTAAAGCATAATGGCTTACTAGACACATATTAAGCCACAATAATTAGTAAGCCACAATAATTAGCTTGGTGGGGGAACCTAGTCATTACAAAGAGTTGCATTCTAAATCCAAACATTTTTTTTTTCAATCTGATGCCAAATAAAGCTGTTGAATATACTCCATCATTATTCATAGCTAGCATAGGACAATGCATATAAGCCAGTATTCTTTCTCTACTTTGAGTGATTCCTTTCGTGTTTAATGTAACGATGTTTTATGAAAAATATGAATCACTGAGAACTCTAGAACATGGGATTATAATACATATGTACTGCAGCACTAGCTGTTTGAAAGCTCCATTTACAGTATTTTTTCTATATAAGATGGATCAACAAGTATAAGGCAGCTGATACCCCAGATATCACAAAACCATATGTATGGTTAAAAGCACCAAAATGTCATACGCTATACACAACTCAGTTTCTCGTTGTTTATGTCTGCTTATATTGAAGATTTTTTTCTTATTTTTTAAAGCTGCAATTTTAATGTATCTGAAAAATATGCAGTTAGTTGAATAATTTTCCAGGGGGTAGAAAGAGGACATATACTTTAGCCCTAACAAAACAAATGTAAAATCATAAAATTATGCAAATTTATTCATAGAAGGGATAAAATCTAGGTTTTCCCATTGAAATTTAATTTTCTCCATGACCACTCAAATCAACATACGATAAAGAAATATTCAAGATAGGAAAACAAGCAAAGCTGTAACTTAGTTTCCTTAGCATGAGGAAAGACAAGCTATCATTCTGTCATATTCACTGAACAATTATACTGCTTAAATTTCAGTTATTTGTAAAATCAGCATCAATGTTGCAAGGATGCAATCTGACTGTTCAAGAGCATGTCTCTCACCTACTTTTCTCTTCACAAATTGGTTCTGCATAAACAAAGTGAGTAGTATTCACACACAGTAATACTACTGCTGAATTTCTAATGAGAAGCTATAGTGACATCTATTATTTGGTTTGCATTTTAGGTACAATACTTCATATATATATATTAATCAGCAAGGATAAACAACGGAAGGAGTCCAAATTATGAATCAGCATTAGTTAAGACCTATTGTAACCAAAGAAACTGTAGCAAAATCTTTTCATGAATTGCTGAAATAAAGACAACATTTCTCTATCAAGTATATTTTTTAGTGAGATCATTAGCAGGAAAATTGTGCATACAACCACTGTTTCTATGACTGCAGCTGCATCTATTAAAAAATGATTCACATCAAGCCATTTCTTTGGCACTCTAGCGAAATTTCAAAGAATTAGTAGAAACTTTCCAGCAAATAAGGAATTCAAACCAGGGTCATTAGCCACTATTTTTTTTTCCAATTTCCAATTTTCCAATTTCAGGATTCTAACATGTTTTGGAAAGCAAATAGATGTGAAATCTTTTAAACCACCACTTTTATTAACTGATAGAAATAGTACAAATTTTCAGTTCAGCTGTAATTTCTCTGTAACACCAAAAAGTCCTTTCTGGATGGCTACATCGTCAATTCCTGGAAAGAAATAGAAAAGAGCAAGTGAGAAACAACCTCTTTGTTTGTTCCCTTAAGTGGTGGGATGGGAATGTTCACAGCAAATTGTTTAGCCACCCAATACAGCCAAGTGACCCTGAGGGCTATTATTATAACTGCCTGTGAGGTCAAGGAACAGCAAGGGTGCAATTGTTGCTGTGACAAAGCACAGGCAAAGATACAGTGTCTAGTTCCTGAATAGTTGCCTAGGATATAACATTGAGCACCAAGGCATTTATATAACCCCCGAGGAAACAATATTGCTGTATTTGTATTAAAAGCTTAAAGAGGTTTAACTGGGCTATCTGGAAATGGAAGTTTCTCCTATAAGACACTTCTCTGCTTCACTGCATAGTTAATCTACCGCAGTTAACCTAATTTTTAGAACATATGGCATCTTGATATCCATTTCCCTTGTACGCTAACAATTACTAGCAAGCATACTGAATAAAACCAGCACAATATTCTTGTAATGAGTTGGATAATCAAGTGAAATAACCACTTAAAATGCCCATGGTCAGTTCTCCCAACTATCTTCTAGATTTTGGGGTACAGCAACCTAGTCACATATAGAATTCAATCAGGCACTTACCATAATTGCATTTACGATATCGTTACTATTATTCTTTAGGGCACGAACGGCTTTTGCCCGAGAAACATTTGCTTGCGACATAACTAACTCAATGTCTTTCACCTCAACACCAGTCTCATCAACCTGGAAGGAAAAAGATAATCTCTCAAGGCATCTGCTAGGTTTTCTGTCAATCAGGAAAGAGACGCTCTATTACACTATAATACTCAGATTTCACAGTAACTATAAGAACTTCTTAAGATGCCACAAAATATAGCCCAATGAACAAAATATAGCCTAATGAAATCTTAAAGAATAATTATTATAGACATTCTGGTGAACTTAAAAAATTTATCTGTTTTCATTTTTTATCTCATGAGTAGCATAGAATGGTGAGTTTTCCTGGTCTGGTGAAAAGTATACCAAAATAGAGAGCGTGTTATAAAATCCAGGGAAAACAAATCAAGAAAAAGAACAAAATGGAGACTCATTGCTGTATATGACATCATACACATCTAGGAACTTTAAACAGAACTTAATGAACAAAACACAACAGCTTGGCCTGACTGAATTCTGCACTATTACATGTCATAGAGAGTGTGTGTGGCTTGATTAGAAAAAAAGATTATAGAGCAAACCAATAGGTCCACTATGTATACATGCTCACATTTCAAAGCACTTCCTACTCTGGGCTTTGCTCCATCCCAGAGTCCATGCTAGGCATCTGCTACTAATACCAGAGAAGTCTATGTGCACTGCAGGGAACAGGCCAATCACGTAACTGGTTGGTGTACAAGCTGTTATCTAGATATCGGGCAGTGACATCAGTGAATGGCAGCTAAGTCAAAAAGGGATGACGCTCAAGCACAATTATAGTTATTAGGATCGTGCATGGCCCACAAGATAGTTAACAAATGGATGCCTCTAGCAAAAATTCACTGAACCTAGAGATAACTTGCACTTTTCTAATACACAGTATCCATACAAATGCTGGAAGAGAGACACTGAAGGACAATATTCATTAATAGGCTCAGTTTCTTTCTGCCTTCTTAAACAGAAGAAAATGTTTGAAAATAATATTTGAAGATGCAAAAAGGATGTTGAAAAACTGGTAAGAAGCCAAGTGGTATGGCACTTCCCCGGCTGCAAGAATAGAGGCACATGTATACTATATTTTGAAGTACTACCATGACATAACCATGAAAAAAAAATCCTGGAATGAAATATAACCTCCTGCCTATTGTTGACCTGGAGATATAAAGGAAGCTGAATGTTCACAAGAGCTGGAAAAAGTCAGCACAGGCTGGCCAGCAGACATAAATAGGACACAAAGCAGTAATAGACTCTTTTTCTCAATGCCATTTCAGTTTGATATCTCTTTTTAGCCTAATATACGCTAAGGCCCAGTAAATAACTTTATATCCCCCAGGTAGGCTCTTCTGGCCATACATGTCTCAACAGACAAGATTACCAGCAACGATTTAGCAAAACTACTAGCTGCATGTCTTAAAACTTCTTGGAAAGTCCACCTCACAAATTTAAGAGGGCACCTTACCTCTTCCTCCTCACTTTCTTCTTGTACAGTAGGAGTCTGTGTGTTTTCCTGGATGTTTGAAATAGCTTCTCCTTGCACTTTGAATTTCTCAGCAGCAGCCAGCTGTGCTTGCTGAGAGAGATCTTCAATCTGGTAGAAATAGATGAGGGGGAAAAAAAAAACCACAATGACTTGTAGATTTTTTGATATCTACAATCAAGTAGTTTACAACTGACAATGCTAGTGGAATGCAAAGAAAGCAAAATAGAGAACTTTATAAATACTACGATGATAGGGGCTGCAGTTTGGAATGACTTTTTCCCTTTCACAAAAATTTTAACCTCTTCCCATAAAACAAACCACATCCATCCATATGAACCTGTTGTCAGAAAAATCCTGCAGAGGAAGTGTTCTTTGTTTGAATGACAAGCCCAAAGTTCTAACTCAGGGGTATCAAACTGCTGGCCCACGGGCCGGTTTCATCATACCGAAGTGCACCCACCCCAATGCCAGCAATGCAAAAAGAGTCGCGATACGTCACGTGACATGGCAAGTGTCACACCCGTGTTCTAACTGATAGCAAATCTACTGATTGTTGCAAAAACAAATGGTAAAGATTTCCTTGCTGGGTATTCCCTAAATTCATTTTACCTTTGCTTCTCCAAAGACTATATAAGTATCTGACGCAGGACTCTTATATACATCTGGCTTGGTGATGACGAAGAGGATATTCTTGGATTTCCTGATCGTAACTCTGGTTACACCTGTGACCTGACGAAGGCCAAGCTTGGACATTGCCTTAAAAACAAAACATAATTGTTTGAGGAAAAGATTTAAATACAGAGCACCTGAGTATTTTATTTCAATGTTTATTTAATTTTATAGCCACCCACTTCACACATGTGATTCTGGGTAGCTTACAGTAAAATAGACAAAAACAATTAAAATATATTATATAAAAGTGCATGGCAGCTGAGCTTTATAAAATAGTGATCAACAAAGCCAAGAGGCAGCCTCCATCACAGTCTCGGGTTCCACACTGTGGTTTTAAGGATTTTTTTTTTTAAAAAAGGCCAACAGAGTCAGGGCTAAACCATTCTCAGGGGGAATGAAGTTCCACAGGCCAGGTGCCATGGCATTAAAAGGCTGCTCCTGCATCCTGCCAGCTTACACCCCCTCAATTGATGGCACTCAGAGAATGCCTCTCCTACTGGATTGGATGGGATAGGTACAAACAATTGGGGAAAGATATTCCCATAAGTAAACCAGTTGTGAAGGGATTTAAAGGCAACTACCAGCACCCTGAATTGTGTCCAGAAGCCAATGCAGCTTGAGGAGCATATACACTGAGAAAACAATGCCATTAACTGCCTGTGCCACTGCATTTTGCATCACCCGAGGCTTCCAAATGTTCCTCAATGTACAGCATATTGCAATATTTATTATCTGAAGGTCATAAGGGCTGTAAAATGGCCTGTGTAATGGAAGACACACTCTTTACTATTTGACGAATGTAGTACACCTACACAATCCTTTTCTGAAAGGGAAGTGGCACCTCCCTCTCAAACCCAATCCAGAATTTTGTGCCATTTTCATCTTTTTCTATAAAACAAGAACTGCACTTCAGAGTTTGACTGTTTTTAGAATAAGACTTCTCTGGACACAAAAATTCCCCGATGGAAATCCAACAGACTCAAGAGATTTATTCAAATATATCCTTTTCTGTGATATTAGTTTTGGGATGGTATCTTTTAACTCACCCTAAGCCCTCTTTCGATCAACAGCTTTTGCAAAATAAGGATGTGCTGTAAGAAATGACTTGTAGAAACAGCAACAAAAAAGCCATTTTGATGGCTGCAGTAGAATAGGCATTGCAAGACAACCTAGCTGGTATGTTTACATGATTAAAGATTCAGGGACACCAACAGCTTTTGTTGGCTGAATCAAGCAAGCCACCAGGAACTGTTAATTTGATCTTACCTTCCGTGCTTTCTTTTCACTCCGGCTCTGTTTTGCTTTGCTAACTGGTTCTTCATCTATTTCAGCTGCTGCTGCAAGCTGCCAAGAACATCACATATATATATATATATTTTAAAAAACCTGACCATCATGAGAACTGCAATGTGCACGTGCATTTCTTCATCAAAAAGCCTCCAGATTAAAATACAGGGCCAGAGCTTTGCCAGACAACTCCCAGTTCGTTTAATTATTCCCAGCTTCTTGAACTGCAAATATTATTTCTGTACCAAACTCAGATCATAATGATCTGTGGAGAAGCAGTTTTAGTGGATAGTGTCCTCTATCTTTGGAATTTTCCCTGTGTATCCTTCAGAAGAGAAACAAGTTCCGACTGAAACTGAGCGAGACCAGAGATAGGATGACAAACATTACAATCCACAGTAGGGAAATTCCTTATTTAGCTCTACAATTGCAGCACTCTCCTTCAGATCAAATGTTAAACAAAGCCAGCAAAGAAAAAGTTAGGAAGGGAAAGGAAGCAGGACATGAAGAAAAACCCACGAGGTCTCTCAGCAACAGCTGTATTTCCATTATTTTGGAAAAAAATATAGCAGAAATAAATTCAAGAAACTGCTCAGTTAGCTTCCACTGTAGTTTATCTAACTCATGAAATGTTCTGTACTTAGCATGATTCATTTCAACCACATCCAAACTCTGGATGTTTTGGATTGTTACTCCCATAATCTTTGCTCCATGCTAGATGTGACTCATAGAATGCAGAAAAAATATACTTCTTCCTGCTTTATTACTTTGCTGTTACCTTATTAACTATCTACCTTGCAGAAAATTCAAAAGGAAAACACCCGCTTTGTAAGATGTATAACATATGTAGGATACCCTTCTCCTAGTTTCATGTTTGGGAATTGTAGCATACCAATTTTAGATACCAATGCACTGTATCTACCATTTCTCTATCTAATATAGACAATGACATGGATAAAAATTGTGTTATAACCATGGCACAAATTAGAATGTGCACCAATGTGCAAAACTAACATTGCAAATTAGGGTACAAAACTTTTTGTTTAAGCTGAGGTCTACACATTGCCTTTGGAGTTTTCGCCTTTGAAGTGTGTATGTTGGGGGATGGGTACAATGAAAGCTAGGGAGGAACAGGACAAAAACTTCCACTGAGCTGATCATGGCTAACCTTTTCATAATTCCCATCTCTATACTAGGGAGGAGGCAATATATAGAATGAGAAAGCACTCCCCAATCCTGCTGGTGATATTGCTGAGCCTGATTGGATAGCTGTGCAATTTTTTAAATATATTTCATGTTATTTTTAAAAAGTAGTGAAAAGTGTCAGCATCTCAGCAGCCAGGAGTCCATCAAAGATGGTTACCATCTGACCAGGATATTCCATAACACCTATTATTAAAATAGGGGATACGTGTTTACCTTGGGCAGACAGAACAACTGCAGTTGTGCCATTGAAACAGTATCATCTCCTTATGCATTTACTGATTTTTTTTTGCTCTCAATAAAAATTACATCACAGTGGCTAATTTTGGAGAGTGCCAGAACTATACCCCAGGATTTAGGAGCGATATTTACATGCAGCCTAGATCTCAAGTTGTGATCACCTGTTGTATTGGATGTCTTAAAATACTGCAGTGTTAGATCTTACCTAACTAAATTATGTATTCACAATTGCTGTGTGAGATTTTTGAGGTTGAAATATACTTACTTTTACAGCCCTGCCCAAGCATATCAAATATAGTTTATGGTGTTCTTCTTTCCCTTTCTCACCTGCGCCTGCTGCGTAGTGGCCTGCGTGGAGTCTTGTTCTTCAAGTTCTGGCACTGATTCATCGCTGTCAGATTCTGTTCCAGAACCTACGGAAATCAACATGCATAATTTCTTCCAACTTGGTCTATCTTGGGAGTGGCAGGCAGGCCCAGGCAAAACATGCAGAGCTTTGCTGCTTGGTCATGAAAAAACTTTCATTCTTTTATTGTGCCAACATTGTTAAAAAATACTTTCAAGCCAACAAACTTCAGAAATGTCTGGTAGTAAAAGAACATATTCCCAACATCCCCCACATACATAGAAAAAAAAATATAGACAACAAAATTCTGAAATGGCAGTGATTTAATATAATAGTGGTTTAACGTATGTGGCAATAGGACAGGGAGTTTATATATGCTCAATCAAGGTTCCCAGGAAGAACATGTTTCTTAGAGCAAGGTGTTGATCACATTCTCAGGGTAAGGATATTATTTGATTTGAGTAGTACTTTTTTTTTTTTTTTTTTAAAAAAGAACATGACAGTTTCATTCTGGCATAATTTGGCCCATGATGGAGACTAGGAATATGCTATAGATCTGAACATCTTTCCTCATTATACTTAGATTCCCTTCCCTTTCACAATTTGTGAGACCTAGAATTTTAGCATGATGTGTACATAGGACAAACAGCAGCTAGCACCAATTAAGACTGCTTCAAAGTGGATTCAGACATCGCACTAATCCATGTTTTAATTATGAGCTATTGTTCACAGTAGCCTGAATCAGCTGAGTACACACATGGTAAACCAAAGAAATACTGGTTTAGTACATATTAAATTTGTTCTGGCAAACTGGTTATCCTGCATCATAGAACAAAGGAACCTGAGCAAGAGAGAGGAAGATGAAGATTGCTCAAGTTCACGGCACATTCCCAAGGTTTTAAAACAACCAAGTTTAAGAAAGATGTTTGCAAGAACTAAAGTACTCACTAAATGATCACTCACTTATGAAGTAATAGTACTTTAAAATCTTGTAATAGCTTGTATTTGTGTCTTTCAGAAAGATAACCTCAAAACAATCCTCCCCACCACCATTATATGACTGCCATCTTTGGATACAAGTTTCAGTGAACTGCTAGCTCACATGCCTTAACATCTGGGTGACTGCAATGCAAGAAGGGAACAAATGAGATTACTGGCGAGAAAGCATATTTAGGGCACAGTTTTTCTGGAACAAGCACAACTGATGTTCCCGTCTGTCTCAATAATACTACATTAATTCCAGCTGATGCAAAATCCTGATACCTTTATCCCAAATTGCATATGCATGTGACTCCATTTAAGTGATTGGTAACGGGACAGAAACACCAGACTATTTGTTTCTACTCTCTAACAGACAACACATGAATTTAACACAAATTAACACAATATATATACATATATATACATATATATACATATATATACATATATATATATATATATATAATAGGACACTTCCTATTTATACACACCCACACATCCTCCAAACTGCAGTTGCAAATATAGACACTGCACAATAATCTAAAGAGGGACATCAACATTAGACCACAAATTCTTCTAGAATGAGGGTAAAATATCACCTCATAGGACAGAACATTTATGCAACTGCTATTAACAATATGTACTAGATATGCAACCACAGGCAAAACACTAGAAACAAAAAAAAAAAGCAGACTGAAACAACAGAGTGCCATTGAAAACAAAGCAGTGATTACAGTTTCTAGGTTAGTTCTCATCCAGAGATATCAGCTCGGACAAGGCTTATGACACATCTATTGAACACACACATCATGCCCAGTGATTCAATTTTTCACATTAGTAGTGTAGATAAATAAATCATAACATGACATAAAACACAAATCACAGTGTGTGCAACAAACTTCAACTACGATAACCTAATCTAGGCTTATTTTGACTTAGTAAATTTTAAATGGCGTTTTTCTAGTCTAAGAGTTAAAGCAGAGGGAATTCACACTCCATGCCTGTATAACTAAGTTAGTATCCGGTGAGCGGCCTTTGATATCCATGCACACAGCAAACCGAAGAGGCAAATACCCTTGTCATTCTTCAGGAAAGGCTGTTTGACAGGAGGAGGTGGTAAAGGAGCAGTTGCTGGAACCTCAGCAAGGGGCACAGCTGTCTTAGGAGAGAAGTCCACCAGGACTGGCTGCAGAGGTGACTCCTCAACATGTACCTCTGGAGGGATCAAAGGTGGCAGCTCGTCGTCTTCAAGGGTAGCAGAGGTAGGGCTGGGGGTCATTTCAGGGGCTAAACCAGGTGCAGGTGCAACAGGGGGTGGTTTGGGAAGCACAGAGGAAGGCTCTAGCTTTTTCACAGGGGTAGAAGGAGGGGGTGCAGGAGAAGCCAGCTGAGTGAGAACGCTTGCAATGGGAGAAGTAGAAACAGAAGGGTCAGCAGGTGCGAGAGGCAAAGGTGCCATTTTCTGGGAAGGCATCACCTCCCCAGATGAAATGGAAACCTGGTTCGTGGCTAAGGCCGAGACAGTGGAGCTAACCAGGCCAGGGGGCAATTTGGAGCTGGAGACAGGACTAAGGGTTGCTGGAAAAGAAAATGCTGCTGCAGGGGAAATGGGAGAAGCCACTGCAGAAGACAGAGGTGCGATGCCAGGAGGAGGGATGACAGGGGCTACAAGGTCAGGAGAGGAAAGAGGTTCAAGAAAAGCAGCAAGGGTTCCAGGAACGGTCACTGGTGCAGGCACCTCAGAAGGTACGGTAGAGGGTGCTGGGTGAGAAACTGGCATTGTTGGGCCTACAGGAGATGTCATCGGGGCAGGTGCAGCTGGTGTCACTGGAGCTGAAGCAGCCTCTGCTACAACTATAGGTGGTGCCTGGTGCTCAGAAGGAAGTACCTCTGGTGCTGCTGCTGGATGGGAGGCAGGTATCAATGAGCTAGGAGTAACCCCTCCAGAGGCCACAGGAAGGGCTGTAGATTCAGAAATAGGTGCAGGAGTATGGGCAGTAGGTGTTACAGGACTAGAAACATACTCTGCCATAGACAAAGAGCTAGAAGCAAGTTCAGAAGTTGAAAATGGCTTCGTAGCAGATGCCGGTGAGACAAGACCAGGCTCTGCTGTAGCCACAGGGCCAGAAACAGCTGCAGGCTGAGTTACTGAAGCAGATACTGAAGAAGCAGGAGCTGGTTTGAAAACAGATGGAACCATCTTGGAAGCAGGTGGTGAAGGGCCTAGGGGAGGCGTTATTGGACTAGAAACAGATGCTGAAAGGGAGGCAGATTCCACCGGGGGTCCTGTAGGAGCCACAGGACTAGAAACAGTTTTCGGAGGTTGCCCTTTGGGTAGTCTTGGAGCAGAGATTAGTTCTGCTGCTGTTGCAGAAGGGAGAACGGGCTCGGGAATAGGCACCGAAGAACTAAACTTCATTGGGGGCGAGGGAGGAAGCGAGGGTGTAAGAATAGGGCCCGATGAGGACATAGGGCCTGAAGAAATTTCTGAAGAGGAAGCAGATTTTACAGAAGGAAGCACCGTACTCAGTTCTTTAGACTTAGACACTGCCGTGCCCGGTGAAGTAGAGCCAGAAGTAGGAGCTGAAGCAGGTCTCTCTGGCTGTGAAGAAAGTGACACAGGACTAGAAGGATCTACTGGGATTCCAGAAGGGCCTATAGACTCAGAAGCAGATTTCATTATTGGACCTGCTGTGGTTAGAGCATCAGGATGTTCTGATGGAAAAGGGGGTTCCACAGGGGACCTGGCAGGAGCCATCTGTTTAGAAGTCAGCATTGTTTTGTCTAGAGAAGTAGTCATAGAGTCAGGAACGGCTGGCAAAATAGGAGTTTGTAGCTGGGAAGAAACAGATAGTGGACCAGACACAGGGCATACTTCTGGGGCTGCAGGACCAGATGCCAATTTCACAGGGGGCAGAGAATCAGGAACAGGTTTGCCTGGGGTTCCTTCCGGTAACAGTAGCGTAGAAGCAGGCTTTGCTGGGACCATGATAATGGATTCAGGACCAGAAGTAGACTTTACAGGTAGTATTTCAGGGGCAAGCTTTGCTGGAGATAAAGCATCAGCCCCAGAAACTTTAAGAAAGGAAGCAGGGATCTCAGAACTGGAAATAGGTGCCAAAGGAGTCACAGGAGGAGATGCAGATTCTGCAGGTGACCCTGCAGGGCATCCCGGAATTGATACAGGCATTGGAGAAATGATGGAACTGGGAATGGTGACAGAATCAGGAAGAGAGGGAATGGGATTGATGGGTATGGAAGGCTGGTGAGAGGGAACAGAGGATGAAATGTGAGCCCCTGGATCGAGAGCAGGAGTCGCAGGATTAAGGATAGGAAGTGTTGGTGACAAGGCAGGAGCACCTGCAGACTTTGGAGGGAAAGGAGTTGGACTAGAGGGTGAAGCCACAGTAGTAGGAGCTGGAACTTCAGCGGGGATGGGAGCTGTAGCCGTAGAAGGAGACACAGGAGCAATTGGGAGAATGAAAGGAGCGGAGACAGGAGATGATGGAATTGGAGAAACTGAGGCTGCAGAAGTTGTCCCTACTGGGCTTATAGGAGATGTTGATGAAGCAGAAGTAAGAGATTCAGAAGAAATTACTGAGGCTGGGGGAGAAGCTACAGGCCCTAAAGGTAGGGATATGCCAACAGGTGCAATGCCAACCATAACTGGTGGTTTCATGGGGGAAAGGGTCTGAGATAATATAACTGAGTCAGCAGAAGACAAGGCAGCATCGGGAGTGGCTTGTACTGAAGAGACAGAGGTAACCAGTTCTGGTGGAGTAGTAAAAGGACAGAGGCTAGCAAGGGGAGAGTTAGCATCATGGCACAAAGAGGAAGGGTGGAGGGGGCTATAAATAGAAGAGGTGGAAACCGCTGCTAAAGGAGAAAAAGTAAATCAGCATTGGAAAAAGAACATTTAAGCAGAAAAATCAAGTTACCTATAAAGCCTCCCACATGGAAGTGCTATTACTTGTAGGGGAGAAATTATTAGAGCGGCTGCCAGAAAATATATATTTTTTTCTCCCGTCCCAAACAACTTTTCTTGGACACTTATTATTTTTTAGCCATTATATCATTGGCTTGCTCTTGTGTACTGTATTGTATTATTCTTTTATTATGTAAAATGTTATATTTTAGTGTGTTCCAAACTGATAAAGTTGAGATAATTTGGCAGCATGCAGCCACAACACTTCAGAAAGACTCAACATTTCCCATGAAGACACAGGTAGAATTAAGCACTCAAAAGGCAAAAATATAATCTTCCTTGAGTTGAACTTATTTCCTAGTCACTTTCTTCCATTTGAGATATTATTTTCTCATTCTAGCCCTTTCCCATAGTTTCCTACCCAATTAGTTGTTTTGAGATCAGCCAAAGCCAGCTACTATACCAGGGGCAAGCAACCTTGGCTCTTTTATGACTCGTGGACTTCAACTCCCAGAATTCCTGAGTCAGCATGGCTGGTTCAGGAATTCTGGGTACTGAAGTCCACAAGTCATAAAAGAGCCAAGGTTGCCTACTCCTGTACTATACCACAGCTAAGCTTTTCAGGTAATTGTTGGTTAACAACCGCCTAATTCTGCATCTCTTCAAACAGTCCTGGAAAAAGTAGATTATGACTGGTCCTCAAAATTATGGCCATTGTAGCATCCTCACAGTCATGTGACCATGACTCGGGCATTTTGCAAATGGTAGGCATGTACAATGGTCACAGCATCCCATGGTCATGGTATTGCCATTTGTGGCTCTTACTGGCTTCTGACAAGTAAAGTCAGTGGGGAAGCTGGCAGTAAGTCGCAAGTCATGGTCATGTGACATCAGGCTTAACTACCATTGGCTTAATGACTGCAGCAGATCAGTGTAAGATGGGTACAGTCATGTGATGTTTCACTTAACCACATCACTTAATGCTGGAATTGTCAGTCCCAATTTCGGACATTAAGTGAGGATTAATTGTAGTTATCACTACTGGCACAAGTGAATCTTACCACAAATCCAACTTTTTAGCATGTGCTAATAGTCTTTTCTTTCTATCTCTGCTAAAGCTGCTAATTCAGGAAACAAGTTGCAGCATTTAAGCTTGAAGCATTCAGTCCAGTGTGGTGCAGTGGAATTTGGAAACTTTGTCATCTATCTTACTGAGGAAAGCCTCTGTGACTTCATGTAAAGTTTATTGCAGAAGCCTCAAGCAAGTCAAATCGTGCTGTATCGACCCATTTCAGGCAAACCATTTTAATCTATGAACCCAGGCATTTCATAAGCTAAACTAAGGACAGAACTTGAACATAGTTTTGGAGCCTGGCCTTCAAGTGTAGTGATACCAACTACCATCCCATCAGATTGTAGGCCATATTAAAGTAACTGTAAATATACTGTTTAAGATGGCACATGCTAAGATTAAGAACAAATACCTGATGCTAGAATGGGAGGCTGAGAACAGACTGGAGGTGCTTCAGCAGCACCAGGGAAAGAAGCAGGAATGGCAGATGCTGAATGAGCAAAATCAACAGTTATTAAACAGCACACTGATAAAACAAGGTCAAGACCAGTGTTTCTCAACCTTGACAATTTTAAGGCATGTGGACTTCAACTCCCAGAATTCCACAGCCAGCATTGCTGGCTGTGGAATTCTGGGAGTTGAAGTCCACATGCCTTAAAATTGTCAAGGTTGAGAAACACTGGTCTAGAACAATCCAGAAGACTCTGTTCTTTCAGCTCGATCAATACAACCAATAAAACCTCCACAATTAAAGGATTTTGGATCAATTCATGGACATCATGAGGATTCAGGGCTATTAGCTTTGATGGCACTGTAAATGCCTCTGAAGCCAATCTACTGAGAAACTATGGGCTTCTTTCTACAATTGGTTGATTTTGAAAACAGACAGTTGGACCAGATGAGCTGGGGTTGTGATAAAATAGGCCACTGCCTATGTTCTTATATACTACACGTGCATCAGAAAAGCAAACAGTTGCATTACAGTGACCTGCAAGTCTCTTGGGATGAAATTATTTAGAAAAAGCTAGAAGCATAAGCTCAGAGAGGTAATATAAAATATGTATTTGTTTGATTGCATGGGACAAGGAATCTCATGTGACTTAAGGGCTCTGGTATCTTCAAATCTTCCTCTAGTTCAGGGGTGTCAAACTCGCAACGTCACGTAAAGTGTCGCAACATATAGCAACTTTTCCATTGCCGGCAATGGGGTAGGCGCGGTTTCACCATGACGCATCCGGCCCATGGGCCGGCAGTTTAACACCCCTGCTTTATTTTATTTTATTTGACTTATTAATAGAATTTATATGGCTGCCCAACTCAGTGACTCCAGGTGGCTTACACAAGTAAAATCCCCAAATACAAAATCCAATATACATTACATTGGATTGGCTTTTCCAAACTAAGGCAAAAAAAAAAAAAAATTACAATGAGGACTTGCAATATAATCAAAAATCCTTTATTCCTTCATCTAGACTAGTGGGTGAGCTGGGCAAAATCTTTTGCTTGTGTAATAAGATTAACAGTGTGAGTTGGGACGACGACAACAGGACTGGGATGACATCCAGAATTCAAGGCAAATATAGCAAAAGAGTGATGTAAAAGCTAGATGAAGCATGTGCTCTGACTGTCAGTATGAAACTAAATTTATGAAACTCAATCCTATTCCATTTTGAAGTTGATGCCTTTCTGCTGCTTGCACTTAAAACTCATATCTTATTTTAAAATATTCCAGAAAAACCGCTGGAACCCAGAAGATGGAGGGAATTAGTCTCAATCTCATCATAATTGGCTGTTTTATAAGCTATGAAATTGCCTGGTCTTAATCCTATATTTTTCCATTAGGCAAATATAAGAGAAGGCAAAGGCAGACTGAACTGCTGCTTAATAGTTCATTTAATAAGGAAAACGGTCACATTAAAAGATGTGTCAATTCCTGTGCATCAAATCTTAGCAAAACTGGTGAAGCAGTTGTAACACATGATTGTAGGAGAGAACTGAACATATATTCCAAAATAAGAGTAAAAAAAAAAGTTCTGGAACAAGGTAGCAAAGCAGCCCAGGATACAATCAGAAAGTGATAAGGTTCATCTTGGTAAGTAGAACTATTTCTCTGTGAAGCACTATACATAGCCATGAGCCTAGCATTAATTTGAAAGGATTGTTTATTGATGTTTCCACCATTAGAAATGTTTTAGAAAAATTAAGATACAACATTTCATCTGACTCTCCAAATAAAATGCCTATAGGAAATAACAGAAGGCAAATCTAATACGAATAGTCCTGGACTTACAACCAGTCGCTTAGCAACCATCTGAAAGGACAACAGACCCCCCCCTCCCCAAAGGTATTTGTGACCTGGATTCAAAGTTCCGATGGCTACCCTTCATGTGATCTCATTTTGGGTGCTTGGCAACTAGCCCACATTTATGGCTATTCAGAGTGTCCTGCAATCATGTGACCATGATTTATTACATTTTGGCCAGAAACTGGCATTTACTTCCGGCTTCTGATAAAAAAATGCCCATTGTGGACAATGGTTTTGCTTAATGACCATGAATTCACTTAATGATTGTGGTGATTCCCTTAACGACTGCTGCAAAATATGTTTTAAAATCGGATCAGTCGTGTGACGACCTATTTAACGACTGGCACAACTTACGAATGTAATTCCAGGCTTCCGGTTGTGAGTCAAGGACTATTTGTTAACACTTTAGGAAAGGATCAAATACAGTACTGACCAGCTGAAGAGAGTCTAGTTGTTTTTTTCAAATTTCTGCTGCTTATCGAGAAAGAGGGAGAATCAAATATAAGGCAGCCGACTAAACAGAGCTGGCATTTCAAAAACACTGGAGTGTTATCGTGCTTTTCTTTAATTTTAAATCAGATATATGTGTGTGGCAATTCTGCTGCTTTAACTTCGGACCTACCTGAACACTCTAAAGCAGTCCCAGCCTGAGAATCCTTGCCTCCTACCTCAGGATTCTTGGCAGCAACTGGCTTATTCATCGTTTCCATGGGGGCCCCAGGAGCTGGAGCTACAACAATAGTTTCAACCATTCATAAATCCTACAATGCCCCCATATATGCCTTTTGAGGTCAGCTGCTCAAGTGGAAAATATATCCAATCATGCAGAAAGATGTGTTATCCTCAAGTTGCCAAAGACAAACAGCACAGGAATAAAAAAAAAATACTATAGAAAATGCCAGTATTAGAAATAGACAAATCAAATCATCTAACCGAATTAGTGCCATTATACTGGCAGATTTGAATTAATTAAATGCCTACCTTCATGGCTTCTTCAGATTGTGATGTTTACATGCACTCATTTGAATTCAGTTAACATCAGCTGCATCAAAATGATGCATCAAAAGCCAATCTAGATGAGCTCATGGTGCATTAGCAGGCATGACTACAACCACTTCATCATAGGATAAAAACCAGTAAAAGATAACTTAAAAAAAATGAGTTGTCAGAAACCGCTTATTATAATACACACTGAAAACCAAAGTAGCTTGTGTTAGATTTGAATTATCCGCTAGAAATGCATTTTGGATTTAAAATGAGTTTTCCTATACCACAGACATGGCAATTTAAAATAGGTCTCTCTCTCTCTCATTGTTCCAGAAATAAAGCTAGACAAGATTTTTTTTTTTACCAGTCTCATCATTACAAGCCAGTTTACAAGCTTAGATAAGTAAATCTGAAGCAACTGGAATATGGTAGAGGCAAATTAGACTCCATGGTTGTGAATACGGTGGTCCTTCTATAGTGACTGGCTCATTTAGTGACCGTTCTCAGCTAAAATGATGATTAAAAACTTTAGAACCAATCCTTGCATTTATGATCTTTGCAGGTCTGTGAAGGAAAGCAAAACTGAAGTAAGATTATAAGTAGAGTCACAGTTACTTAGTGATTGCTTTGTTTAGTAACCAAATTGCTAGTCCTAACTGAAGTTGGCAGGTCCCCATATCCAGTTGTCCCCAACCTTTTTGGCACCAGGGACGGGTTTCATGGAAGACAATTTTTCCACAGATTGGGGGGGGAGGGGGGAGCACAGAATAGATGTGCAGTTTTGCTCGCCTGCCGCTCACCTCCAGTTGTGCGGCCTGGTTCCTAACAGGCCATGGATTGATATCAGTTCTGCAGCCCAGGGGGGCCCTTCCCTTAATCAATCTCTCCCCTGCTCTCAGTACTTGAGTGTTCATTTAGATACTCTATTTCCACTACAGAAAAAGTGTACTACACGTTTCTCCATACTATAATGGGGTCAGGGCATTTTCTGGGATAGAAGTTGGGGTTGGAAGTCCATCTGGGGCTGTGGGATGGGGAAATAATCCTTGCTGGGAACTGTTTTCTGCGTTGTATTTGGTCAAATGATGGTTTTGATGAACTGTTAAGAATGAACAGCATTTTACAAAGGAAGATATAGAGGAACTTTCCATTCAATCCATGCAGTTCTTCTCTAACTTGGATTTGGTGCAAAAGGTGAAGATTGTTTCCTGGCTCCAGTGAAATGCCATGTTTAACCTCCCCCCCCCCCAAAAAAAGAGGTGGATCTAAGTGTACAAGCAATTATATCTAGCCGGATGATGCAGAACTACATTTTGGCTGAGAGCACACCTGTGTCTGATTTCCACTGGGCAGACTGTATACTCTTTAAAAGCATCACTTTCCAAGTCAAATGATGCAGGGATGATTTGCACAAGAGTGACCAGGACTTGGGCAAGTACTTCTAGAATAAGCTAAAGGTTTAATCATGGCCATTCATAGATAGATAGCAGAGAAAACCCCCTTTAAAATATCTTGGTGTAAGATTGGCAAAGTGCTTTTCCCTGCTCTCCGGTGCTAGAATTGATGAGAGGGACAACTTTTACATGCAAATGGCTTGGTTACATCACCTTGTTGAAGTCTGTGTGTAGGAAAGGGCAAGACCTGGGAATAAAATCTGATGTTGCAGACCCTCCCTTCATTTTGGGCTCAGTAGTAGAAAGCTCCCCAAGTGAATTCATATATATAGATGGTAGAAAGTCACTTGGATTTTATAATAGTCTGTATGATTTTCTAACTATTTCTAGTTTGGTAAGATAACTCCAATCTCCTGGCACATAGTGATGTCCAGAAGCTCTTTTTAAGAAACTGATAGGTTGACTAGATTGAGGTATCAGAGTTTCCCAACACAGTTGGGTGCTATTAGCATACTCAGTATAATTCTGTTCCCCAGCTCTGAACTAGTCTCAGGAGCCTGAGTTAATGGAGATTGGGGAAGGCATGTAGCAGGTCTTTGGGCCATGTGGCATAAAGGTGTTTACTGCCCATAATTCCTGAGACAGGGAGCATGAAATGAAATTATTTTGCCTTGAGCTGAAGGGAACTATCAGAACATCCACTGTTAGCTCGTCGACATAATCTGCTTGAATGCCCTGAGGCTGAGGTCCGTTACCTGAGTTCTAAACCTCAGCAGTTGAACTTATCTGATGCTCAGCCAAGAAGTTGTCTTATTCATCAGCTTTGATTTGCTGAGTTTTGGTAGTGCTATCTTTTCAGAAGTTCTTTTAGATTATCCCAGAAGATAGAAGCTTTGAGTTTCCTCTTCTTAAACTATTTATCCTAAGCAGGGGTCTGCAACCTTAAACACTCAAAGAGCCACTTGGACCCGTTTCCCAGAGAAAACACTGGGAGCCGCAAAACTTGCACGCGCATGTGCAAGGGGTGGGGAGCTTGATTAAAGAGTTTAATTAAAAAGAAATAGAGGCTGCTGTGCATGAGTTCTCTCTCTCTTTCCTCTCCCTCTCTCTCCCTCTTTTTCTTTCCTCTCCCCCTTTCTCCCTCTCTCTTTTTCCTCTCTCTCCCCCCCTCTCTCCAATGTTCTGCTCTCCTGGCAAGCTGGCTTCAGGCTCTTCTCCAACAAGCTGACACACATTATTGAGCTGGCTCTCTCCTGCCCTGCCTGCTGAGACGCAGCAAAGGGAGGAGCCCCGCCCAATAAGCTTGTCAGCTCATCAGAACAGCATGAGTCCACTCTTTTTTACACACAGAGGGGGGGGGGGGAGCAAAGAGCCTCTCTGCAAATGGCAAAGGAGACTGGGAGCCGCAGGACAAGGCTCAAAGAGCCACATGCGGCCTCCGGAGCCGCAAGTTGCCGACCCGTGTCCTAAGCAATCCAGCCTCCTCTCCTAAGGGTGGTGTCTCTGATTAATAAAGCCTGGTCAGAGAGCTTTCCCTTTCCAAGAGTCACAACCTGAGAGATGGTTCACTTTCAGTGGAATTGATAGGTGTCTTCTGAATATTTGGGCTATTTGGTCCTGGAAAAGGAGAAACATTTACTTCAGGGAAGGGAAATTTCAATAATACATTGATACAAACAATCATCTAACCCTGGAGACTGTGAAAATCATAAATTCCAGGCAGCTGGTTTGGAGGAATTGTGTGACAATCTGTTGGATAGCTCTTTTCTGTTCTTTACAAGGGAGATCAGGTCTCTTTGGTGTCCAAGATGGTGTCCAGGTGCTGTAGGGCATGTGCTGGTTGAAATATGCTCTTGACTCTTTGATGGTATAATCATGATGCATATGTCCCTCTTTGCCTGTTCTGTCAAAGGGAACTTGAATATCAAGTTATTTACCCAGAGGTACACATGTACTCCCTATGATTTGAAGTGGACTATGATAGTTACTATCGCCTTCATGTATATTCTGCAAGCTGACTGGCTAAATGAGAAATTCCCCGATGCTGAAAACCCAAGGAATGTTCTGTGGGATGGATAAGTTGGAATATGTAAATGGGCCACCTGTTAAGTCTAGCAAGCCTGTGGCATATTTTTTTTCTAAAGATTCTCTCATGGCTATCATGTTTTCAATCTTGAACATGCAGTATTTGATATGGCAACATAGTCTGCTATTCCCTGTTCTTTTTGGATATCATTAATATGGAGAAGAAACCATAAACTCTCTCATCCATGTGACCTCTAAGGCTATCGAAGAAGCCACATGGGTGAGAGAGCCTGTGATTTGGTGACACCTTATAGCAGATGTTTGGTTATCTATGCGACTAGGAAGAAGTGACACTCTTGGGACGAGGGGGCCTGGTAAATGTGATGGTATGTGTGAGATTATCTTTAGGAATGTTATATGTGATATGAATCCAAAGGTAGGGCAGTATATTGGCCATCTCATTACCTAAAGGAGCAGTAACAAATCTGCTGGATTTGGACACCACTATGTTGGCTAAATTCTCTAGAAAAGATTAAGCATGGAATTAAAAAGTTAGAAATTGAACTACTTATTTGGCCTCCTCATAGAAAGCTCCACGGAATCTCCAGACGCTATGTTGCTGTCCATTGCTGACTACTAGGTTAAGGTCTCCCAAAAAGGAAAGTGAAAGCCATGAAAACTAAACAAATAGAAGGAAAAAGTGTAATCAAGGCAGTTCCAGCCATGCTAGCTTGCAGGCTTGTCTATTCTCCAGAGGAAGCCAGGATCAGGGGAACTATTGCCTTCTACAGCGGAGGTCCCCAACCTTTTTCCACAGACTGGAGAGTGTGTGGTTTTGTGTGCTGCCTACATCCCACGGATGGGGCTTTGCTTGTTTGTGCAGACCAGCTGCTGGCATGCCGCAGCCTGATACCAGTCCATGGACCGGGGGTTGGGGACCCCTGTTCTACAGGATGTGACATCATAACCCTTTCTAGCTTTCTGGAACCAGAAGGAGAGCTGTATCTATTTCTGGATGCCCTTGCTCTGGTGTAGGAATAGAAACAGGTACATGATGGCTGCCCAGAAGAGCAACATCTCTGCTGCCCAGAGCGCTCTTCACAGAACACTCAATGGAACTCCAAAGTTCCCCTACGCTTTCAAACCACACCTGCCATCTTCGGGTTAGAAATTACTATATTATAACAATTCAGCAGTGGACAATAAAATGAATTTTAGGTTTTATGATAATTGTAAATCCTATGTTTAATTACTGCCATATTACTGTATTAGGTCTCTATCTTTTTGTAGCTCTTTGTTTCTTAAATGTTTTAATAAATACATGAACTTA